ACCTTATGAGAGGCGAATAGATGCTTGTACTGGCGATACTTCTCTTGGTGGTGTTTGAGCTCTTCACTAACACGACAAATTAGACAGTCGATTTGCTGAATTAGCTCCTTCACCACTGTCGACTTGACAAGATCCATGTGGAAGGTGAAGTAGAAGATGTCCTCCTGCTCGGGTACTCGGATGCCTTGGCTGGGCAGACAAGTGCCTGGCTGCCAGCGAACAAACACTTGCGTATTTTTTATCGCATCTCGCATATCCTAGTTAAAAGATTCCAATGGATCACGGAAGTATGCTGTGCATTAAAAGTTGATTTCTATAAGATCAACCATCAATAACTCTGGTGGATGTAACTTTAATTGCCTATTTGATGGTGGCGTTTGGAAGGAACTTGTCTTCTGTCAGTCACTTCATTAGTTTGAATCTGACCGGCAGTACTTCAACAATTCCCGTGTATCACATGCCGAACTTCGAATTTGTTTTGTACAACATGGTCGCGATTTCGCCCAGTAATAAAAGAAGGGCTTTCCAAAAGTGAGCGTCATAACGCTGTCGCACAAAGAATGATGACAAAAAACCCACTTTCAACGGTCATGTTCAACCATCTGTTGGCTGTTGTTTCAAAGTTGTTGTATGCTCACAAGTCCAAGTCCTAGCTTTGAGATCACAGGAAGCAAGGCTTTCAGTGCTGTGGTGATGTGGGTGCCACGCATGCAGTGGTCACCCTTTCGTCCAATGGAATTCGTGGAATGAGATTAAGGAATTCGGTATTTACGACAGTATAGCAAAATACTCTTGCCTTTGACTGCACAAAACAAGCAAGTATAGGTAGGCTGAAAAATGTTTCTTCTAGTCACTAATGTTGTTGCAGAATAGTTGGGATGAAACTTAGGTCTTTTCATAATTAAGAAAAGTACAAGGAAGTTTGAGTAAGGCTTGCTTATCAAGACAGTGTCACCAAATTCAGAGCTCTCCTTAAGGATTAAATTTGAGTTGATGCTAAGTTAGTCAAGACAGGCTGTGATTTTGACTTTTGATTCCCATTTTGCCCGAAAAGCAGACTCGATAGTAGCAGAATACTGTCTGGGTTGCAGCTTGTTGCTGCTTGAATGTGATTATTTCTCCTTTATCAGCCTCCCACTAGACTTGCAAAAAGCTCATCCTCCGAGAAGTCGGGACGAAAAGGCCCAGAGGGCAGTGTGCATCATTGATTGTGTGATTATTACTAAAGATTAAACAGAAATAGCGCTTAGAGAAGACCACTGCTTAACTAAGTGTCCATCTCTTCTTCTTGTAGACGATGATCAATTAATCTGAAGAAGTCTGTTGGCCAACTAGGTAAGGAATTGTACGTCTGACGGAGAGCAGGCACCCAAAGCGTTTTAGGCAAGTCAACCAGCAGGGCAAGACGGAACTGGAAAGCTGCA